TCTTTAAGTTGTCAAACCTATGAACAAAAATGAGAAGATCACCCTGGGTCATTGAGTCCTTATCTGGGAGGCTCCTCCTGTGCATGTAAAACTTTGATTAAAAAATTTGGTAAGCTTTCCTCTCACAAACCTGTGACCTTTGGTAGGTGAGGGAAGGTTCCACCTCACCACTCTCCTGCTCCCTGCATCCCCCTTCTCCCTATATTTACTAACTGATTTTAAGGATATTATAAAAGATGCAAAGAGACCAGTGTTGATCTAGATCTGCATTCCTCAAGTGCAGGAGCCTCTGTCTCAAAGAGGTTAGGTGCTCTACCCTCCTGGCATGTGGAGATGACCACCAATTTAAAATCTGTGGGGCCTTGTCATTTAGGGTGTGTTTGTTTGCATGGATACCCCACTATGCAGGTGTAATGGATTAAATTCCTGCATGTTGGTAGCTGAACTCTGTGGTGGTATTGTGTTCCCCAAAATATTGTGCACCCTAATAAACTTATCTGGGGTCAGAGAACAGAACAGACACTAGATACAGAGGCTAGAAAATTGTGGCACTCACGCCTTTAATCCTAGCATTCAAGAGGCAGAGATCTACCTGGATCTCTTTGTGTTCAAGGATACAGCCAAGCATAGTGACTCATGCCTTTAATCCCAGAAAGCAGCCTTTAATCCCAGGGAGTGATGGCAGAAAGCAGAAAGGTATATAAGGCATGAAGACCAGAAACTAGAAGCTTTTGGCTGGTTAAGCATTCAGGCTTTCGAGAAGCAGTTCAGCTGAGATTCATTTGGATAAGGACTCAGAGGCTTCCAGTCTGAGGAAACAGGATCAGCTGAGGAATTGGCAAGGTGAGGTGGCTGTGGCTTGCTCTGCTTCTCTGATCTTCCAGCATTCACCCCAATAACTGGCCTCAGGTTTGTTTTATTAATAGGACCTTTTAAGATTCATGTTACAGAACTCAGCATCCAACTACTTTTTTTTTTTCCTTTGGTGGTTGGAGATGGGACTGAAAGTGACAATCTTGTCGATGGGTGCTCCCTGGGCAGCCAGTCCCATCCTTCAAGAAGCCATCTCGTTAGGGCTAAAGGGGGCTTACTATGAGCTAAAGCTGTTACTCTTACCCTGTGAAACTAGAGATACACCCAGTTTTGAGCCATCTGGTGTGGGTCTGGGATTCAGGATGTTCCAAAGGATTTAGGGGTGCTGTACTAAAATCTTGGATATATACCAAATATGTCCTACTCTATCACAATGGATATCAGTTTATAAATGCATAAACAAATCAGAAAAATATAATGAATGGACATAAACTTATGCAGAAATTTGTCTATTGTGTTAATTTTTTAAAAAATCTATATCCAGATATTTAAAATTTTACTTTAAAGGCTTCTCTGCACACAGCAAATGGTAACTTGACATGAAAACGTGCTGGAACCTGTACCAGATAGGTGACTTGCAGCTAATCACAAGAAGCCATGTTTGTGACCAAATTAAGTATAAACCATGCTTAAAAAGACAGGTGGGTGTTATCACCAATAGGGCTATCTCAGAACTCATTTCCAGTTTCGGATCACACTTCCTTTTCTCTAGCTATGCATTTGGAGACGGGAATTTTAAACCTTTTTTTTTTTTCTTTTTTTGTCCTGAATGCTGCCTGATTCTAGAATCACAAGTAAAGTCAATTAAGATCACTCAGAGTTGATATGCTAGAATTTTTCTCTACTGATATTCATCAGGCTCAGTGGTTAAGAGCACAGGCTGCTTTTGCAGAAGATCCAGGTTCAGTTTTCAGTACCCACATAGCAGTTTACAATTGCCTATAACTCCAGTTTATGGGAATCCAACACCTTCTTCCCTCTTCTAACCTCTGAGGATGTCTGCATGTACATGGTGCTCAGTCATACACTTAGGCACACACACACACACACACACATAAACATAAAATAGATACAGCTTAATGTTTTTGAAAAATCTAGGGTATACAGCTACTTATGCTAATTAATGCTAACTAGTGTTAATGAGTTAATACAGAGTTATGTGAGTTCTGGAGTTTATCTAGGTGTCTACCAACAGGAATGGATGAGGATAGTGAGGTATGTATACACAGAAGTAAAGAGTTAAGTTACATTGTTTGCAGGGAAACAGATGCTGCCAGGGACAATCATATCATCGTAAGCAAATCAAGGCAGTCTCAGAAAGACAAATACTGTTAGGTTTTCTATCATATGTGATTCAGGTAAAGTCACGTATTAAAAGAAAGTAGAAATGAAATTGTCTAGGTGGAACAAAAGAGACAAACAGGAGGAGAAGAATCTAGAGAAAGGAGAGGAGGACTGGGATGGGACTGGGCAGGATATGTTCAAAATACAATATATACCTTATGGAATTTTTTTAAAAAATTTTAATTGAGAAAGAATAAAAATGGTATTGATTCCCAGTTGTTCCTCTGTGCAGGGGTAGGGGAGAAAGCAGAGAAAGGCAGGGGAGGGCAGAGAAAGGCAGGGGAAGGCAGAGAAAAGGTGGCTTTGAATACACACAACTTTATATTTTGTGTCAATCAAAGCATTCTTTATATTCATCTATTTATTTTACATCCCAGCTGCAGCCTCCCCCCATCCTCCCCTTCAAGTCCCTCTCTCCCCTGACCCCCTCCCTCCCAGACTCCTTCTCTTCCATCTCCATCTGGGAAAGGGAAGGTCTCCTGTGAGTATAAAACATGGCATATCAAGTTGCAGTAAGCTAAGCAACTCCCTGTGTATTAAGGCTCAGCAAAGCAACCTAGTATGAGGAGTAGGGTCCCAAAAGCCAGTAACAGAGTCAGAAACAGCCCCTGTTCCCACTCTTAGGAGTCCCATAAGAGGACCAAGCTATACAACTATGACACACATGCAGAGCCCCTAGGTCAATTTCATGCAGATTCCCTGGTTGTGGCTTCAGTCTCTGTGAGCCCCTATGAGCCCAGGTTAGTTTAATCAAAGCATTTTTATAATCTGAAAATATATAAAAGAGGAATAATATAAAAGAGGAAAGAGAGAGAAACCTTATGATAGGGTTTTCCAAAGGAGGATAGCTATTAACATTGCTTGCAGAAAATAGGACTGACTGAACAGGATATGAAGTGTCCCCAGAAAGTTCATGTATTAAAGGCATGGTGAGACAATGATGGGTTTTCAATAATGGGGTTTTGGAAAGTGAAAAGAGCCTTCTGGTTCTGACCTAATCAGTGGAATCTTTGATATAATCAAAATATGATGACATCACTAGGAGGTGGGGCCTAGTTAGAACAAACAGATCATTGAAAATGCACCCTGGATGGACTGCCCCTTGCCTTCTCCACCCCCATCTCTCTCTCTTTCTGCTTCTTATTTACCACAAAGTGAACAGCTTTTCTCCACCATGAGCTACTATGCCACCTGAGGCCCAGAAAGAGAGACCAGGGACTGGAACCTCTGAAATAATGAGTCTACGTGATTTTTTCTTCTTTCAAGACATTTATCATAATGAAAGACTAACACAGAAGAAGACAAGAATTCCCATGGCAGAGAAGTAATGAAAGGCATTCCAACTAAAGCAAGCAGTGTTTACAAAGACACAATGAGAAAAGGGATCCTCAAAATTAAATGAGACGTAAAGAAAGCAGTCTGGTCGTATATGTCACACTGAGGATGTTCGGGTTTGATACTATTTTTCAAACTCAGCAACAGTGAGACCTAGACTCTGGGATTCTGTAGAAGGCTATCCTCCAGGATTCTGAAGAAGTCTGTCCTCCAGGATTCTGTAGAGGGCTACCCTCCAGGATTCTGTAGAAGGATATCCTCCAGAATTCTGTAGAAGTCTGTCCTCTAAGATTCTGTAGAGGGCTATCCTCCAGGATTCTGCAGAAAGCTATTAAGTAGGGTCTTAAGCAGAAACTCTGTCAAATGTCAGTAGTATCCCATTCTCCACCCCTAGCCAGTTATGGAACCTGAAGCACCTGTACACACTGCTGAGTGCTGCCTTTGGGACAAACTCTTCTCTTCTCCTTCTGTAGAGCCACTATTTTGATAATGAAGTGGGGATGTGTGTGAACAGGTCTTTAGCCCTGGGCAGTGGGTTTCATGCTGACTCTAAATATGGCTTTCCTGGTAGAAGACAAACTGGAGATGGAGAAGGAAGGCATGGAGACTCTGGGAGGTTGCAGCAGTGTTGTGGGTCAGAAGTGAGACCAACGTGTCCCATGACAGATGCTAAACATTTGAAGACACATTTTATTCTGAACTAATTTCAAACCTATTGCCTCCTCTCCATAGCTGCAGCAACATTCTTGTTCAAATCAACCTTATGAATACCCCTTCTGTCTACCCATCTCCTGAACCTTCCCTGTTCTTCAAATCAGTCTCTTCATTGTCTCAAATAGAACTTTCTTAACAACAAACCAAATCATTTTTAACTGCATCTAAAGAACCTATGGTTGATGCCTGTCTTTGAAGGATCAAGAAGAGCTTTGATGTGGAGAATAAAACCCACTCCAAACCAAACTCTTCCTCGTTTCTTTGGTCTCCTGACTCAATTTCTAAGAAATAACTTGATGCATTCCAATCTCTTGAATGTGTCAGAACATCTTTTTTTTTTTTCATTTTGTAATACAATTCAGTTCTACATATCAGCCACGGATTCCCTTGTTCTCCCCCCCTCCCGCTCCCCTCACCTTCCCCCCAGCCTGCCCCCCATTCCCATCTCCTCCAGGGCAAAGCCTTCCCCACAGACTGAGATCAACCTGGTAGACTCAGTCCAGGTAGGTCCATTCCCCTCCTCCCAGGCCGAGCCAAGCGATCCTGCATAGGCCCCAAGTTTCAAACAGTCGACTCATGCAATGAGCACAGGGCCCGGTCCCACTGCCTGCATGCCTCCCAAACAGATCAGGCCAATCAACTGTCTCACCCACTCAGAGGGCCAGAACATCTTTTATAATTTCCCTCTGGCCTGGAATGTTGTTCTCACCTCCTCTTTCATTAGTTGAGACTCACCTGGAGTTTCTTCTTCACAGAAGAGTCTTTTCTGCAGTCATGTCTGCATGGAAGTTCCTCACTCTGCTTCTGGTCCTGCAGTGCAGATCACACCGAAGTTTACTCCAATTGTTGTGAATCCTTCAAACTCAACCTTGTGTTCTGGCTCATCTTTCAAATCCAGTGCCTGGCAGGCACATACCCACCCCGAAATACTCTTTTGGAGAGGATGAAAGAGGAGAAAACTAGCATAAGCAGATATATGGCCACACTAACTTTGTAATCTCACAAGTATTGTTGAAAAGAAAAATGGTGTGGAATATAGGGTGCCTCAATGATGAGATGGTCAGTACATTTGTCAAAGGTGGGCTACAGGAAGATCGGACCCTGGGTACCGGCCAAGATAAAGAACTCTTGTCAGAAGTTTTATATACTGAGGGACATAAAATTGAGCTTTGAAATTTTTGATCAATTTTCCTTAGCCACTAAACCATTGCTGGCATTTCTAAAACAAAAACAAAAAACAAAACAGTAGTACTTGTACACAATCACTTATGTAATCTCCAACTACATGTTAAACAATTACAAATAAGATATCAAAAATAGAGATTTTTAGCTGGGTGTGGCACATACCAGTAATATCTTTGTAGTTACAGGCAAGAGAATCAGGAGTTCAAGACTCTGTCTAGAAAAAAAAAAAGAACAAAAACAAAAAATAAACAAGAATACTTATTTCTTGTAAAACACCTGCAATCATAGCACATGGGGTAGAAAGACAGAAAAAGCATAAGTATGAAACCAGTTGGGCTATAAAGTGTGTTCCAGGCAAGCCTGGCTTATAAGAAATGAGTCTGTCCTCTTAGACAACAAAACAAAACACAGATTTCTGACTACTCTAGGAATATATTGCAGAATAAGAAATAAGACTTAACCAGATTGGGCTGGAGGGGGGATGCTTCAGCAGTTAAGAGTGTATATTGTTCTTGCAGAGGATCCGAGTTCAGTTCCAAGCATCTACTTTGGACAACTCACAACTGTCCGTAACTCCAGCTTAGGGGATTCTATTCTCTTATAGCTTCTACAGGCACCCATTCACACATGGCAACACAGACACATACATACACATGAATTAAAAAAAAATCTTAAATTTTATGAGTTAACCAGACCAGGTAAATAAGGTTGTTTCAGAAGTTAGAAGCCAGCAACTCTGCTCTCACTCACAATTGAGTCAACCAACTCAGAGTTACAGAGTAGAGACTTCCTGCAAGCGAACATGGGAGTCAATACTGATGCACGGTAGTTGAATCTGCAGTAACTTGGAGATGGGAACAGCAAAATTTTCTTGCTCAAAGAACCTCCAAGAAGTTGGAATTACTTTGTATTTGTGGAACCAGCACATTCATGGGATGTTGAACTAGGGTATTATTTTACCCAAAGCAACTTCTCAGAATATGTCATGGGTGATCCGAGCAGAGTCTATAGAATGGAGCCATGGAAGTGTGCTCTGGGGTTTGCAAACACTTTTGCTGAGGTGTCTTGTACAGTGTTTTATGAATTGAGAAGAGCAGTAGCAGCAATTTACTCTCAATTCCCAAAGAAAAGCAACCAAACCTGGAATCGATTACTTTGTGCTAGTTCAATACTTACTTAATGTTACATGTTAAGCAACAGGATTTTACAACTCACTAGTCCTTCACTTACAGAGAATTAAGCAATAAAAAATCCATTCTCCTCCCAAATGCCAAGAGCCACAGCCAGGCACTAATAAGTGAGTGAAGGTATTGAGTGAGTCAGTCAGCACATTGATTCCTTTTTTTACCCAAATATCTATAACTTCACAATATGTAGGGACTCTTTAATAGACTCCAAAAGCTCTTTCCTCCGACATTCTGTAACCTCCTGCCTTCTTTCCCCTCCTCCCCAAGGTGGGGCCTCAGGTACCTACAGATGTCCACATTACTAAGTACCTTAAGTTAGAAACCTGGTTTATCTTGCTCAGTGTCCCTTGCATCAGGGAATTCCCTTGCACCAAGTAGAATTTTGCCTTCATGCCATCCTTGTGAAATACATACTGTTTATTTCATGATGATATGACACCCATTTGAGCTTTGTACAGGTTGTCAATGAGTGGCAGATCTATAAACTGAACCAATTGTTCTGGCTCCAGTCTCTGATGTCTGTCAACCTTCATGATATGCTTCCTCTCTGATAGTCACATGCAATTCTACAGGAAGATACTCTCCCTAAATGGTAGACATTCAATGTTCATTCATAGCCTTTTATCACCCTTTGCTTTTTTGGCCCAGTGTTCAGCGTATAAGAGCACATAGACACAGGAGGATCAGTGATGGACAGCAGGAAGTGATGACATTCTACAGTCATCACTCTGAGATGAAAATTTATAAATTTCTGGGGTTTTGTAGAGTTCTAGAATGTCTATCCCTTCCTCGGGGTCAAAGAGAGAAAGGCTTACCATTCTTTGAGGTTTGATGGAAACAGATCAGCTGCACAGTCCTTGGCAACTCTAACCAGGACCCAGCATTTGGAATGGAAAGGCAGTTACCTTTTAAGTAGGTCCTAGGTGCCTATCATGAGGCACTTAGTCAAAGAAGCCATCTTAACAGGAAAAGAACATGGAAGCTTGGGAGACTGCTGTGCAATCCTGAGCCAACAATGAAGGCTTCATTAGTCTGCATTTTTGGGTTTCCAGCTGTTGTCTCAGTAGGGCCCTAAGTTGCTGCACACGTCTGAGGGATCAGGTCATGAGGAAGAACATAAACACTGAGTATTTTCTTACCTGATCATGATCTTGTAGTACAGCTATGATTTTGATAAGAATAAATAAAGTAAGCTGAAATGTTTCTTATTTTCTTTCAGACAAGAAAGTGTAGATTTAAACAGAAACACACACATATGCACATGCACACACACATGCATGCACACCAGCACACACAAACACACACACACACACACACACACACAAGCACACACACACATACACACACACACACACACACACACACACACACACACAAACACACATACCATGAAAGTAAAAGATCAGCAAGAGATTGCAGGTGAGGGTCAGGTGGGGGTTAAGAAGGCAACTGGGAGCAAGGTACATAATACGTATTATGTCTTAATCAAAGCTATTATTTTGTACAAACTAAAGATTTATTTAAGAATGCCAAACAAATTACCCAGTCCTACCATTCCAACTCCTAAACCACCATTATCAATTACTACTTTTTTTTTTTTTTTTTTTTTTTTTTTTTGGTTTTTCGAGACAGGGTTTCTCTGTGTAGCTTTGCGCCTTTCCTGGAACTCACTTGGTAGTCCAGGCTGGCCTCGAACTCACAGAGATCCGCCTGGCTCTGCCTCCCGAGTGCTGGGATTAAAGGCGTGCGCCACCACCGCCCGGCTGATTACTACTTTAAAAAAAAAAAAAAAAATATGCTGAGCCCTGGCTAAATATTTACAAGCAGTATGCCATTAATCTTACCAGTGTTTTTAGAAAATACACAATGATGGTCTCTTTTATGGAGGAAGATCAAAGAAGCTAAACAAATCAGCCATATTCACTGAGTGGAAACAGGATCTGACCTCAATATTCAGAAGGTCTCAGTCCTGGGATGTTCATTATTTTGCTAAAGTACTGTAGCCCCTGGACTCTCTCCTGCCTCCTGTAGCTCCCCACTGCAGTCCCTGGACTCTCCCCTGACTCCTGCAGCTCCCCACTGCAGTCCCTGGACTCTCCCCTGACTCCTGCAGCTCCCTACTGCAGTCCCTGGACTCTCTCCTGACACCTGCAGCTCCCCACTGCAGTCCCTGGACTCTCCCCTGACTCCTGCAGCTCCCCACTGCAGCTCCTGGACTCTCCCCTGCCTCCTGCAGCTCCCCACTGCAGTCCCTGGACTCTCTCCTGACACCTGCAGCTCCCCACTGCAGTCCCTGGACTCTCCCCTGCCTCCTGCAGCTCCCCACTGCAGTCCCTGGACTCTCTCCTGCCTCCTGCAGCTCCCCACTGCAGCTCCTGGACTCTCTCCTGCCTCCTGCAGCTCCCCACTGCAGTCCCTGGACTCTCTCCTGCCTCCTGCAGCTCCCCACTGCAGTCCCTGGACTCTCTCCTGCCTCCTGCAGCTCCCCACTGCAGTCCCTGGACTCTCTCCTGCCTCCTGCAGCTCCCCACTGCAGTCCCTGGACTCTCCCCTGCCTCCTGCAGCTTGTCATCTTATCCATGCAGCTTGTCCTGCAAAATGGATGGTATCTGATAAAGAATTGCTCCTTGTTTGGTACCATCCATCTGTGGATTTCTGATGCCAGCCTTGTGCACCCTGAATTTCAGTTGTTGAACACAGGGAAGGGTACTTTTCCCTTCGTCCACTGCAGAAAGAGGTAAGACTGGGGAGTTTTACGGGGGGAAAAATACCTTTCACTAGCCCAGAATATCCTTCTTCTTTTTACTCGCCTGTGTTTACTTGGCTGGGCTCTATTTACTATACTTGGGATTTCTTTTAAAATTAAGCAATCTTATATGTTCCACTTAGTAAATACCATGGACTATCTTCAGTTTATGTGTAAATAACTCCTTTAACCATCATAGCTCTAAAAGGTAAGCGCTCCTCTTTCCTTTGTATCTCAGATGAGTAAACTGAGGCACATCAAGGTCATGCTATGCACGCAAGGCTGTAACCACTGTAAACACTGTGATCCAGATTGTATGTGTAATGCCTCTGATGCAGCTATTGGGTTTCTGGATCACTGTATCCTGAAGATTCTGAAAGGTTTGCTAACTCTTGCTTAACTCAGTCTAAAGACAGAAAGAGATAAATTAGTACTGGGCAAAGAGAACAAAAGGAGGTTCTGGCTGCTTCTGTTGCATTATGAGTACTAAGATTACCACACTGTGTGACTATAATCCATGAACTGCTATATCTTGAGTGAGGACACAAGGAGAGGCCTGGTCCATGTTTAAATTCACCTTCTGTTATTTTCCTACCCTTAGGACCAATGCCTGAAGGTAGGTAGTCAATAGCTATGAATGAGTGAATGAGTGAATGAATGAATGAATGCATTCCTCATAGTGACCTCATTACAGCACTTCCCTATGTGATGTCAGCAATGGGTAGATACTGGCCTCCTTTTATTATACTGTTGCTGCGATCAGTTACCACAAACTTGGTGTCTTAAAAACAGCATAAATCGCCAGGCGGTGGTGGCGCACACCTTTAATCCCAGCACTCAGGAGGCAGAGGCAGGTGGATCTCTGTGAGTTCGAGGCCAGCCTGGTCACCAAAGCGAGTTTCAGGAAAGGCACAAAGCTACACAGAGAAACCCTGTCTGGAAAAAAACAAAACAAAACAAACAAACAAACAAAAACCCAGCATAAATCGATGACCTTAAGGTTCTGGAAGCTAGAAGTCTGAAACGATCTCACCTGAACTTTTTTCCTTCTGGGATCCTTAGAGGGAAAAAAAGCCCCTTCCTACCCTTTCTAGCTTCAAGAAACTTCCTGCCCCTTGGCTGTTAAATTCCCTCCATCTTTCATCTTCAAAGCTATACACATCACTCCATGGTCTCATTACCTTCCCTATGGTAGCTCTGTCTTTTAAAAAAGATCACAGTCATCCCTGGGACTCTGTTGTGTCCCCAGGGTAATCCAAGACAACTCTTGGTCTCAAGAGCCTCAATCAGTCATATATACACAGGTGACAACAGGGTTTCTACTCCATTTATAATAGGATCTGGGTCTTAATACATCACCCCTTCTGTTTTATTTCATTCATTTATTCCTTCATCCACTCAATATAAGTCTTCATAATGAGGTAGAAATGTATGTGTTTACAGATGAGTATTGTATGACCTTTAACTTAAAGAGATCCCATAAACATCTTGGACATGAAATAAATCCAACACTGGAAGACAAAAGATGTCCTAAACATTTCATAGGAGATCAGGACCACTTGTAGTTAAGAGAGGATGGGGATGCTTCATGTAAGTGGTACCACTAAAGACTGTCAAAGTTGGGAGTGAGAACATGGAGGAGGAGGAGCAGGAGCTTGCAGGAGGAATGTTGTAGAATGTGGTTTTCTGGGCATCACACAACTACTTCCTTCCTGAAATCAAAACATTCATGGTTATGAGTGTAAAACCCTCACAAGACTGGGCACATAACACTCCCTCTTATGAGGGATAGCACTCAAAAGATGGGTAGGGCACATGAGACCCCTTTCTCTGCCTTCCCTGCCAAAGCAGTTCCACAGAATGTGAGCTAAAAATGAAGCTGTAAGTCTCAAAGTATCATAATATTGTTTCCACAATGCCTAAGCCTCAGAGGAAAACCATTCCAAGAGCCGGGAAAACCTTAACCACAGGAAAAAAAAAAAAAGACAGCCAGAGCCAGCATGGGGATGGCAGGTATTTGGTGGTAAAAGATGCTTTAGTGAGCAAGTATGTTTGTCACACATAGGGTGTGGGTTGTAGCTCAGTGATAGAGCAAGTGCTTAGTCTGTGTGAAGTTCTGGGTTCAACCCCCAGCCCTGAAAAATCATCACACTTTAACAACAAATAAACACCCAAATAAAAAGCAAAGTCAGTTTTAGGAGTGAAAAGTCCAATAACTATAAGAATCTCAGTGGATGTTCAGAATGGAGACATCAGAAAAGGATCCAGAGAGATGGAAGACAAAACAAGAGAAATGAGTAACATGGAGAAAAACGACTCGAACAAAAATGAGCAGGGTCTGCTAGACTAGAGCAGAGATCTCAGCATGTGTCCTGAGATCTCCAGAAGCAGGGAGGAGAGCAGGTAAAACTAGAGCAGAGATCTCAGCATGTGTCCTGAGATCTCCAGAAGCAGGGAGGAGAGCAGGTCAGAAAAACATATTTAAAGAAATAGTGGGTCAAAAAATTGCAATGTGGCAAAAGATGTGTATCTATAAATTCCAGAAATAGTGAGCCCCACCTAAGATAAGCCACAGAGTATTCACATCTGGAGAAAATGCAGCAAATTTAGTTTCCAGTAACTCAGAAGATGGATTTTAAGTATATAAAGAGAAGCTTTTAAAAATAATTGTATTTGATTTGCTTATAGACTGTTTACATTGTTTACATGAAGCCTTAGTCCTTAGGTTATTTCAGTAGATAAGACTTATAGATTTATAGTCACCTATGCTTGTCATCTCTATAGTTACATTAGTTAGGTTATCCAGATTTACAGATACATAGGTCGGATGGACAAGTAATCTTCAAACACTTCATAGACCTAGAGAATATGGCATTTAAATAACTTAGAATTCTGTTGACGTGAGACACAGTTGCTCCTGGCAGCACCAATTTGATCCCGAGAGAATGTTGGGCTTCTAAGACATTTCCATTTGGAAGTTTGTCTTCTTGGCACAAAATGGTCTGTTGGGCAAAGAACTGCCCTTGCCTCAACTGCTGACAATATGAGTGCTGTCCTTCTGGACAAGCGGGACTCAAGGAAAAGTGACTTCTGAACTCTGCCAAGACAGGGTAAGATGGTCTTTCAGAATTCCTGCTTCTGAAAATGGTCTGTCAGATACTCTAGGCCTGTAGCCAGTTTGAATGCACCAACAATGCTGAGAAACATTAGGTGACTGTCCAGGCTGCCAGCTGTCTCTGTCTACTCTTGCAAGATTCCCAAAAGTTGCTTGCATCCATCTTCCATTTCTCAGGTACCATTATATTCTTTCTCAGGTCTTTGATGGGATTGAAGACTAGCAGTTATAGTTACAACTTAGTATATATATATATATATATATATATATATATATATATATATATATATATATATATCTTAGATAGAACATATTTAGTATTAGATTCAGGTTCTTTAGGATAGGACACCTTTTGGAATGATCTTTGTAACATGCCATTTACCTACACTCTAGACTTCTCTGGATTTTAGTATGTGTTTCTTGCTTGATATTGTTCACATTGGTTGTAGTTCCATCTTATCAAGGTCATTAACCCTCTTTACCCCTGGACAATATTTGATAACTTTTCCTTGTATATAGTCTTGTATTAGGTTAGAACCTTCTTATTTAAACAAAAGGGGGAGATGTAGTGGGTAGCCATTCCAGCTTTGCTGGAAGTTCCAACCCCCATTGAGGCTTCAGTAACTGTCATGCCTACAAGGCGGGGCTAAGAGAGGACCCTAAAGACCCGAGATCCAGATGCACCGTCTCTCTTGGTTCCTGGACCTTGGACGCTGGAGGTAGACCGAGCAGAGTTCTCCAGAGAACACAACTGCGCTGCGTCTTTCCCAGACCCTGCAACGTACCTATCCCTTCATTTGTAAGTTACACCGTTAAATAAACCTCCCTTTTAACTAAAAAAAAAAAAGTGTAAGAGCTAGACAATGATAGGCCTGAGCTAATGGCCAAGCAGTTTAAATAAAAAATAAAAAAAAAATTGTATTTGTTCTTTGAAATTTCCATACATGTACACAACATATGTTTATCATATCCACCCTCACATCCCACCTTCAAGTTATCTAAAGACCCTGTCTCATCTCCTTCCCAACTTCATGTCCTCCTTTTACAATTATTCATTGATAATTAATTCTTTTAACCCACTGAGTCCCAGAAAAGTGATTGTCTCTCATCTAACAGCCATCAACTGCCGTGGCTCCTCACTAGGGGTGGGGCTTCAGAAGTCTCTCCCGCTCCATGCTGGAATCCTTAACTGGCATGATCTAGTGCAGGTACTGTGTAGATAACCACATTACTCATTACTGTGGATTGATGTCCAACAGCCATGCCATGTTCAGAGAAGACCATTTCATAGAACTCCTTCCCATCTGCCAGCTTTTACATTATTTCCAACTCCTTTTCTATAATATTCCCTGAGCCAGAGATCAGGAGTTGATATAGACAACCCATCTACAGCTGAGCACTCATAGTAACTTATTCTCAGCACTTGAGCAGCACTGTGGTTCTTCACTAATTACTACCCGTGGTAATAAGAAGCTTTTCTGAGTGAGGTTGGGAGCAGCACAGATGTATACAACATATAAATCATGTAAATATTTAGAAGGTAGTTAGACAACATGAACATTCAGAAAAATGACATCAATAGGTTCACCTGTATGGCCTATGGCTTTCCTAGGCATGGGTTTTGACTGTGTTTACAGTATCAGGCATCAATTCTCTCCTGTGTCACAGTCCTCATCAAGAGAGTAGTTGGTTTTCTCTGTAATCTTGCCACCATTGGTTATCCTACCATTTTGCACCACTGGGCACATCCTACCTGACAGGTCAGTACTTTAGTATGCAGAGGTCAGTGCTAAATGAAACCATTGTTGATTTTCTTCCCCAGAAACTTATGTGGTGTTTTCTAGCCTATGGAATCTGGCCAGAAGGGATAGT